CCAAAAATTCATATAAATTGGTAATCTACAAATAGGATAAGTTATATATAATTATTCATTATAGATGCATTACAAATCTATTGCTGAAAACTGCATTAAATCCTTTACATAATTTAAAAGATATAAGGGAAGAGACAGCGGCGGCGACTTCTTTTTATGCTACAAGTATGTAAAGACAATTGTTTCAGTAGGCAGGTAAGAGAGAAGGTAGACAGACTAGGTAAGATGTCGTCAGATTACAAATGAATACAAATTGTTTAGAAAATTAATAAGTAGGTACATAAGAGTTGTGTTTCTTTACTAATATATAAAGAGGTAAAGTTTGAGAATTTGGTTGTTCGCGGTGATTGTCGGTCCAATTTAGAAAATTCTTTTAATATTATATAGCCCATTTATAGTTATATAAAAAGTATACATTTTAGTGGTATATATTATAATATATAAAGAAGTAGGTAAGTATCTATCAAATTATTTTGTAAGAAATACTTTGTTACCTATTTATCTTGTATATGTCATGAAAGGTTACCGTGTAATAAAATTGAAGTCGTAACTTGAACATTACAACGTATATATACGATTCGTTTTAATTCACATAACAGTATTGGAAAAGATATAAAAGTTACATGTTTTCTATTAAATAATACAAAGCTATCAGTAAGGGTTCTGGATACCTCCTGTGTAACATTCGTCAATAAGTTCTTACATATTTCAGTTGAGTTTTTTACCGATTTTTCTTAACTTGAGTAGAACGGTAGGGATAGTAATATTATTGTTTTTATTTTTTAATTTATTCTATTTTCACAAAATTGCATCACATAATATTCTTACACTATTGATTTGACTAAAAAAAATAGTTTGACATTGACTTAGGTAATAAATATTTTGTTATTGGTGGTAATAATAAACGTCGTAGCTCAGTGGCAGCAAAGGGAGATATCATACGAGAGGAGAGCGAGAATGAGTTTCTCTCTCATATCTTACCACTTTCTAAGACATGACATAAATATTCTTATTTCGTAACAATACGCAAAATTGAGCTCTTATATGACTTCAATTATTTTCAGATACATTATATAGCGTATACTACTTTACTTACATGACAAATAACAAGTGAAAACAAAAGCTATTTCAACTCAATAAACAATTCGGTACTAATATATAACAAGCCGCATTTGGTGTAGTACAACCAAATATCGTTGTAAAAATAACTAAGTCAGACCTTTATTTGATCAACTTAAGTATATAAAACTCGTTACAACTCTTTGTAGAGATAACCTAGTTTTTGACTTGTTTCTAATTTAAAGAGCAGTCTGTTAATTATAAACTGTAATTAGCAATATTCACTGGTCTCTTAATTAACAACATCACTTGTAACTTTTTAAAATGTCCCATAAAATATATATAACTTAAATTATTTTTAACTTCAATGTTATTTTTTTTTATTATAATGTTATTTTTAACTTAAAATCTAACACAATTTACCTAAGCTAAATTGTGTTAGATTTAAGTTAAAAAAATCATTCTATGGGTAAATATTCGAGTTTACTTCAATATAAAGAAATAAACCACTTAAGGGAATTATACGAACGAAGCACCAGGTGTATTTATTGTTTGTATTGACAATACTTTATATTATTTTTCATTGTTTTTTTCCGGAGAAAATTTCTGTAGAAAAGAATATGTATTTTCTACATTTCCAAGGACATTCACGGTTATAAATTATATTGGCTCACACGTATGTAATCTGATTACAAAGGTCGATGTCACAAGAGAATCCCCGGTGCGCACAGGGCTCCCCGCCGTTTATTCAGCATCCAATTTTCGCTGTCTAAGTACCGGTTTCAATCTATAAATAAGTTATAACTGGTCGCTTCCGTATAGAACGCTTCCTATTCCGTTCCTGTAGAATTTTTAAAGATACTTTTTTTATTCTTTATTGTACAATAATAACACATGTATAAAAGGCGAGCTTAATGTCATATGGCATTCTCTATTACTAACCTAACCTAACTTTTAGATAGAAATAACAAGCGTTGTAGGGCAGTATACTTTCTTAGTGTTCCGTAATATTAAAGTCCAAAACTAATGATAGTGATTAAAGACATAAGATTAAATCGTATTCCTAAAGAATCAAAGTGGAAATTGAATATATTTTTATAATTGTTCATACAAAAATGCGCGTTCGCTTAATAAATTTAATACGAACATTTCAAACAAAATTTTCAGAAGTGACATGGATGAGATACAAATTAAATTACGATGCACATACCTTTAAAAATATTGACATGGATGAGATCAAAAGCTTAAATTACGATGCATCATCAGAAATAATAAAAATACCGACATAGCCCGAAGAATTGCGATTTGTATATGGGCAGGCAAAAGCTATAATACTTTATAGCTATTACTTCATATAAAAAAGGTGTGTTTTTGAATTTTTACCATTAATCAATGCTAGCACCATAAAAAATAACGAGGAAAAAAATTGAAGATGACACCATTGAGCGCGTGTTGAAACGTGTTACATAAATTAGCGACATAATTAATACTCCAGTTTGGGCGTAGCAATCCGTCACTCTGTCTCAGGCTTCACACCCTTACCCTGTCTCGTGAGTAATGGCAAAATTTTTAAACTTTCCTCTCTTGCGTGACTTTGTTTCGAACACAGTGGTGTGTGATTTATAGCTCGGTCGATATAGTATGGCGCGGCTAGAATTAACTTGGAAGTTCTAGTTTGAAGGGTCTCGGGATTCTCGGTTTTCAGTGTCTGACGCAGAAATCATTGGAAGTAATTAACAGGTATGCATAAAACGAATGAAATATGAACGATTGAAGTATTAAAGGGAAACACGGATAATACTAGCTAAAGCTAAAATATTCATATTTCTATCTCCTTTTGGCACATATTTTTAGTAAATGGATATATAATGGTGCAGTATAATAATAGGTAATTTACGAAAGAAAATGTTATATAAACCGGCGTAGATTGTCTATTTCTATTATCTCATACGTTATAAGTAAAATTTCAGTTTTGATTTTGATGGGCAAAATCATATACAACTGAAAACAGAATTAAGCAGTTTCCAAGAAACTAGAATATAAAAAATAGGTAGTAGTAGTGAGTGGACGTTAGTGGAGAAAACACACAAAGAAAAGTTGGATGGACTTTATGAAAGTTGATATGCATAAAAAAGAGTAACTAAGATTAGTCATGACATCTGATGGGTTAGTAAAAGAATAATACTATTTTGGACATCTTTAATTTTTGTTTAATTTTTATTTATTTAATCTTATATTTATTTTCTTGAATTGAAAATTATATGAATCTTAAATTATTATTTACACAATCCTAACCTACTCCACACTTCCTGTGGCATGCTATATTGAGTTGACTAGAAAAAAATCTCTTTTTAATATAAGCAGGAAGGCTTCTTCACTCTTACTACGTCATATACTTACTACGTCGTTGGCAAACAAGCATACTGCCCATATGGCTGTAGGTTTGTTTGCCAATGACAAACGGTAAAACGTTACAGCAGCTTAATGAATATACTTAAATAATGTATTCAAAGTGCAATAAAAATATATAAATAACAGACCCTAAATATAACAGATAAATGCAATGCTGAGTTTCTATCACTCGATGCTGATGACGATCTCTATAATACCTAAAGTGAAGTATAATCTGTGCCGCTTGTTCATTTCGCAAGCGATTAATACCAATCGTCTATCCGGATATTAACTGAAATCGTTCTCTAGGCGGAAAGCGACGGTCTATGTATATGTATATGTATTAATATGATTGTACTGTTTTAATCATGCGTTATACAATCAGATCACTTCTTTATACTAATATCTATAGATTAATTAAATCAAAAAGACCTTAATCTAGGGGCTTACTACCTCGACTTATAGACCTTCAAGATCGTGAATTCGAAGCTGGCCAATACTTTTAAAACTTTGGTTTTTTATTCTGATGGTGGCAATCAAATATAAAGTAATTTGACAGATGATGCAAGGTTTGCTCACTGCCACGTTACATTTAAATGTGGTCATATCAAAGTTGTGCGTTTTGTTTAGTGGTGCGGTCGAAATGTGGACATGTTAAAGTGGTGCGTTTAGCACGACGACGACAGTTAACAATGCTTTTGAATTCTGCGAAAAATGTCCTACATGAATAAATGATTGCGATTTGGCTCAATCTAGGATTACAGATTGATTTATATATCAGAAAGTTTCTAACTGAATACTTCTTCATTATTTCTGAAAATTTCATTGTCTAGCTGCAACTTAATTTTGCCAAGTTCACGGTAGGTATACCTGCATTTGCTGAATTTATTGCCTAGGGAATGTTGGACGTTGCATGCCTCTGTCTGTTGATACTGATCAGTTGTATACTGACAGGCTAAGGTCGAGAATTACGTGCTAGGTACCGATTTACTTAGTGCATCCTAGGTATTCATTATTGATTAGTTACTATTGTACATGTTATATAAACGAGATATAAGGTATCTTTCGACGCTAATTAAGGTCTTGGTGACGGGTCGAATCGGGAGCTCATAAATAATATTATCAGTAAATAATCCGTTTATATAATGTGTACAAATGTAAACAGCCGTGAACAAAGTTTAATACAGTGATTAGTTATCAGTTCTGTCTAATCTTTTTATAAATAAAATGAGTAAAATAATCATATCATTCATTTATGAAGCTTCTCTTGAATGACTTATTATTGACCTATATCTATTGTGTTTAAAGAAAACGCTTATTTAAAAACAATATCATTAGATATTGTTTTTATACTAACGAATGAAGATTATATTTCTAATATTAAACATTATTTTCATTATCAGAAAAGATTTTATTTTATCTTAAATGCTTAAATTAAAAAAGTCTTGGTGTTAACGGCTTTCCTCTTCTCAATACTTACAATATTCATTTCGGGTTCATATACTACTTGTAAAGTTAAACAACTTAGAGAATTCATAAAATTAACTCACCTATGCTTTGGCTGACCCATATGCCTAACATATCGAGCTGTAGCAACCGATGGTACAGCGCTTCACCTCTCGCGTGATTCATAAACAAGTGGTAGAGGAAGGAGCCGCACCAGGGCGCCATTGCACCCAGCAGGTGACACAGTGACAGGAACCAAGAACCTCCACCACCCCACGGCAGCAGGCCAGGCAGCACGGCCATCATGTACACTAGTGACACGCCTGTAACAATATAAACGATTATAATTTCAGCATTTTGAAGTGTCGGATACTTTTGTTTTTACATGATTGGATATTAAAGAAATATTTAATAATTGGTATAACAAACAGATATATGAAATAGATTTTATGTTTGATGAAATTCACGGATGTACTGTTATCGGCAGTACCGCATTGTGAATTGGTGTCTTAGTAGAGCCTGTCCGTCAGTTTAAATGAGTCTGTTTTAGAAATCATGATTAGCTTTTTCGCTCGAGACTTCTCGAGTCGAGAGAAACCGAAGAATCGACACAAAAGTCGAGACGAGATTTTTCAATTTGTCGAGAGTGATTTTTCACCGGGGAACTCGAGAAAACGCATAGTTTTTAGTTTCGGAAATTGTCAGATATAGCAATTAATGCTGTAGTATTTTAAAGGCCGATTTTATTGGAATAAATATATTATTTTTATTTTATAATAAATATTGTACTAATTACTTGATTATTACATATTTTATGATTGTTCAAGATAAAAATCGATCTTGAGAAATAAACAAATTTAAATTAGAAAAATATCAGATTTTAATAATTAAGGCAATATTTATTATTTCTTTATAAATAACTACTTGAGAAATTAGTATAAAGAATTCTCGAATTCAATAAAATATGGCGTGAAATTGAATAGCCTGATATACCAACTGTAACTTTCCGATTTTTCGAAATAATATAACAAAAACAATTGAATGAATAGAATAAGTAATAAAAGTTATTAAAACAAGAAATGAATGTGGGTAAGTAATGAAAAACATTCTCCACAATACCATAGTCCTTTTATTATTATCTAAACCCATTATTGGACGTGAACAATAGTTGTATGCTCGCATAACAAAGAAATCTATATTGATTTTGTGTTGCATGGCTTTCCAGTATTCCGGGATGGCCTCTATTTCTCTTAATACTCTCAATTCAGAAATTTTACATTTGCTTGAGTTTTTCTTAATATATATAATTTATATCTGTCATAGTGGCCTAGTGGTTTACTAGAACTTAGAACCAAAGGTTGTGAGTTCAAATGTGGCCCTCTTATGTATGTATGATTGCAACCCACTCATGTTTAATGTACCATCTCCTTTAAAATGTTCACACTCCACCCTAAGCAGATTAAAACTATCACTTCTAACAACATTCTTCATTTCATATCCCAGGGCAAGTACTATTGACCTCCGCAGTGCAGAAATAGCTTAAATCTCCTAATAAAAATTACCTTTAATTCAGTCATAGTACACATCTCATATTATTGCGTCATTAATATTTCCAAGGAGAACAATAAATTAAAATAATAAGCTAACCTAGAATAGCCAGTGTTCGCCATTTATTCATAGCAGAAAATGAATTCTAGTTACGTGAATCGGTGTCTACGTGAGCTGTATGCAAACTATAGTGCTCAATGACGGTAAACTTTATGGTAAAATAGAATATCCACAATTGTGCCGCACCTGGCCCCTATCGCCCTCAATGAAAAGCCGGTAGTCCGTGAACATTGAATATTTTGCAGACTTCTTTATTACGAATTAACTGAATAGTAATATCTGAAAGAGGTTATGATTAATTATAGAGATTTATGTATTTTTATGTAGATATCGTAAGTTGTAAAATATTTGATTTGACAATTATACTTATAGCTAGTCGTTTTTGTTTGCTTTTTTAAGATAAAGAATAACTTATGTTCGACCTCGTGATACCATATATCTGCACATCAAAATTAATTAATACCCGTCTTGTTGTTTTGACGTAAAATGCATTATACAGATAAATAGACACTTTTGAATTGTCTTAGTACGGTTAACGGTAATAATAAAGGATATAATTTATAATTTTAATTACAGCAATAGCCATTGTTCTGAACTATGAATGGTTGAAAACGTGATAATGTAGCGACAAACTTATACCTAATTAAATATTATATATACTTTATTTGTATAGTTGTCTGACTTTATATCGGGTTAGTAAACGCTTCTATGCTATTATGGCCCCACTCACGCAGCGCGGACACTGTCACGCGACTCAGGTTGTCGCTAGGCCGAATATGGCTTCACAGATTAGCTATTAGCGTGCTACTTCGTCTAATCATAAGTACAGTATGTTTTGCTGACAAAGACATTATAGAAAATGAATAGTTTTATAATTAGAAAAAGAACGGAGAGTATATCCTAAAAATACAAATCAAATAAATCATAGAAATAATAATGGTTTGGCCATACGAATATGGTAACTACCTACTTCTATGTTTTAGGGTAGACGTGCGGAGAATTGTTATTTTTTGTAGACAATAGAAGAATGCTCCTACAGCGCCCGCGCAATTTCTGGGAGAGTTTTTTACTTAACTAGATTGATGGGCAATGAGAATGAACTGATGTTACATTTTTGTTACATAACTGGAATGTAAAACAAACTGATGGATAGTAGCAACCCTACATGTGTACCCTGTAATTGCCCTGTCATATCTGACCCTTTAAACTAAAATACAGCACACAACTAAAGCTTGACGGCAGAAATAGGTGACATAAAGATATTTACGCAGACAACTTTTGTACATAGTATACCTCGATAACAAAGATCAAGTCTTAAAAAATATCTTGAAATGTGACATTAGGAATTTATATTTGAATTTAATTTAATTTTACCAACAGATGCTACATTCTAAGAACAACCTATAGTACTTGCAGAATTAATTTTGTACGCCACGAAATGTGACACTCCTTAATTAAAATTTTAAGATCTAATGCTTTTAATGCTGAAAATAGTCGCCTTATTTCAAGTATATTTTACACAGCCAAAATGGGTTTAATTTTATGTCCACATCACTGGGATATAAAAATCTCGGCTGCTTTAAGTGCCACACGTACTTTTAATACTATACACGTACGTTTTATGACTTTTAATGGGTACCTACCTACTGTAGCTACTTACAATTTTCCTGTATGTGTGTGTTAACTGATATTTAGTATTAACAGTTCGTACAGCTATGACGTGTTCGTCATGCTATTGCGTCTGCGCGCAGTGTCTATTTGTGAATCTGTGGCGGTTTTCGTTTGCGAGGGAAAATAAAATAGACTACTAAAAGACTTCTTCTGCAGAGATACTCTTTTCTTGTGTATATTTAAATCTGTATCTAAATTGTAACATAATATTCTACCTAAATATAGACCAACCCGAGTATGAATATTGGGCCTACAACGGTATGTATCTGTAATAAAAATAGAAATATGTTCGAATTTCACAGGTGTGTGAATCTTTCGCCCTCTGGGCACTATTGTGATTTCAATAGAAAATTACTTTCATAATGTTAGAAGCCTTAGAGGATTTGTCCTCATTTTTCTTGCAGTTACTATCCTATTAGCGACACGTGTCGACTTTTATATTTCTTCACATTTAGAACAACTTACATAGCCATTATTCAGGAATTATAAAAGATTTAAAAATTATATATAAAAGCAAATTACGTAACTATTGCACGATTAACTGTTGCTACGCCGTAGCACAGATAACATAACTAACTTCGAATATAGAATAATAATGTCGGTATATTTTATCACTACAGTATTCATAAAAATCAAGAAGTTATGTAGAATTTTTAACCAACCAGTAGTTTAATCTGAAATAAAACCGCTCAACCGTAAATCGAACTCGCAAACCAAAGTTCTGTATGTAATTTTAAGTCTCAGATATTTTTTAAAATATGTTACGCTTATTTAATGAAATCTGTGGACAGTGTGGGTTTTAAACAGATGAAAACATTACAACAATGGAATACGGCTTTGGAATATAGAGGCTACGAACAAAAATAGACAAAAAGATGTTATAAACATGTTGGTATGATATACATATTTCTATAAGTACAGTAATTTAATAGAATTATGGATTTTTATCTCAGCTTCAAAGTTGTGATAAAATGTCTCTAAACCTGTGCAGCATTAGTGCCAAATTGAGGTAAGTATAGCTTTATAAACTGTTTATGACTTTATATACACTTATACTTATAATTAGTATAAGCACGGGTAAACTGTTTACCCGCGATCATGGCGGATGAAACACTGCCGAAATATCGGGAACTCATTTAATAAATATAAAACGTGGTAAGATCCCGTGATTTTTACTAATTAAACGTATAAATAATGACCACGCCGAATTTAAAACAGTTTATATACACTGTGTGTATGTGTTAATCTGATATATAATCTATTTATGTATCAAATTTCATTGTAACCCGTCTAGTCTTCTAAGATTTATTGAATAACATACATCAAAATAACAAAGTTGGACATTCATAGGTTGATAGTTTACTGGGTATTTCAAATATATTGTTTTCATTTTTGCTGCCCCTAAATATAAACATAAATGAGATTAAAAAATATAAACGACTATTAATTGTTCGTGTATTTGAGTTGCTAAAATAACTGAAATACTTTTAGAAATAAATATCCCAAGTTTCACATTGCAGTTTTTTTCTCTCGTTATTTGAAAACTGATTACGATTACTGGAGAAATCGAATTAAGATTTTCATTCAAATTAAGAAGAACTTTACATCATATCACATTTAAATTAAAAAAAATAAGCGTAGCTAAAGCTTGTCTATATTTAGCTACTCTTCTTTTTTTTATTAGTAATTTGTTTGAACGATGTATTTATTATGTGGAAACTACTAATACTGTATATGCATAACGTTGTGGTAGTTTATATACCTACTGCATGTATAAATTTGGGGCGCCTATCGATTGATGAAGGGGTTGGAGTGCTAGCTGCATTATAGATGCGCTGGCCGGCGGTTGTTGGGTTTGCCCATTTACTCTCGGTTACCTTTGGGCAAACGCGCGCCCGGCCACATTAATCCGTAAATATTTAATAGTGTGATACTCAACTTTTGAAAACATTGATTATATTTAATTATATTTTTTTAATGAACTATGACTAAACAGGCAGAAATAAAATGGATTCACCGTTGGCGAAGATATAAGAGAAATGAA